TGTCCAAAATGTTAAAAAAAACTCTCAATGAATGAGGACATGTATCAAATGTGCACAGATGGTAACTGGGAGCAAGGTTCACTCATCACATCTGGGAGCATTTGAGCATTAAAATGATAATAATGATGTGATCATGGGATCCGTTGAACAAAACAGAAGTCCATTAATCCACACTGCCACACATATGTGCATGAATAGATGAGAGAAGTAAAAACCTTTTATCACAGATAGAAGAATAGTGGAATTTTAAGTCATCATTTATCTGTCACCACAGTAATAATTAATTTATCCAATAGATGCCTGCATTAGTGTGTTAAATATTGATTAGAAATAGGATAGTCTCAGACTGGAAATACCTGTCCACAAAGTGTTTATTAGACAAAAAGGATAAAGAGAAATTTCAAGAAGGAGAAGTCTATAGATAGGTGTCAGTCAAACCAGAGTGAACATGACTGGTCACAGGAAGAATGAAATTCAGGTGACCTAACAGGATGAGCCCTGTGTCACACCCATTGTATTCCTGCAAAAGCTCAAACCATGAGGTAATTTCCACCAGTTCAAACTGGGGAGTAGTCTATGAACTAACAGGATTAGGTTAAAAAAAAGTAAGGCCAGGTGTGGTGGCTGTCACCTTTAATTCTGGCATTTGGAGGTGGAGGCAGGTGGGTATCTGTCTCTTTCTCTCTGAGTTCTAGATCTGACTGGTCTACAGAGACAGTCATAGGCTAACCAGGGTTGATAGAGAGAACCTGTCTCTAAAAATAACAACAACAAAGCAAACAACAGAAACCCTTCCATTGTGCCTTGTGCCTGCTATGCTGCTCTCAGTCATCCTGTAGGATCTTCACAGTAAGCAGAGCTCATTGCAGCTTCCTGTCTACCAGGAAGCTCTAGTGTATCAAAGCCTTACGGCTTCCATTGATCTGGGAGTATCTGAGTTTCTCCCTTATTAGGGGAAGATAATTTAGCACATATAGAGTTATTGAATAGGAGATTTCTAACAATTTCAGATCATTAGTTCTGGTTTCACAGTTCCTGCTGAGCGAAGAACTCCCAATCTTGTCATGGGTCCCTGTGTGTGAACTCATTTGTCTCACTCTGTTCCAAGAGTCTGTCTCAGACTGTCTTGGTGGAGGTGGGGGAACAGATCAGCGTCCTGTATCTCACCTTACTTATAGTTCATTAAGCATCATGTGTGTTTACATTCATGTCTTCCACAGAAGTTGGAAACATTTTGGCCATTTTGTTTTGAGTGGTCTTCCTCCCCCCTTCTCTTTTTGCTCCTTGGATCCTGCCAAGCATCCATGTGTCTACTCGATGGTGTCTCATAAACTGGGCTCTGTTCCCCTCAGTCTTTCATTGTGTTTGCATGATTGAAAATTCAGTTGTCTTCCTATGAACTCACTGGCTCTTACATACCTGCTCAAACCTTTAAATCTTCTCACTTATTCTTTTCACTTAGGAGTGTGTTTATTACTTTTCTTTCATGGCTGTGATGAGATATCAGACGGAAGCAGGCTTACACCTTAGGAGGGCACAGTCATGTGGTAAAGCACAGTAGAGGAAATGGTGGCAGGAACACATGGGTAGGAATCCCCTCACCCAGGTGGACCAAGAAGCCGAGCAAGATGCACCAGCACCCTGCTTGCTTTCTGCTTTTCACCTTTCTGTTCATCCTGGGACTGCGGCCCAAAGTACATTGCCCCCTACATTTAATGCTCTAGGGCAGTGTTAATGCTCTAGGGCAGTGGTTATCACCCTTCCTAATGCTGTGACACTTTAGTACATACAGTTCCTCATATTGTGGTAACTTCCAACCATAAATTTATTTTCCTTGCTACTTCATAGATGTAATTTTGGTATTGTTATGATTCACAGTTTAAGCATTTGTATTTTCCAGTGGTCTTAGGTGACCCATATAAAGGGCCGTTTGACCCACCAAAGATGTCTCGACTATAGGTTGAGAACCACTGCTCTAGGTGTTTCTCAATTCAATAAATTTGATACTCAAAATTAACTCTCACAAAGCATTTCTTCTTAGGTTTTTAAAATTGGTCTACAATTTCATTTAGACCCAAATATTTCTCTGCGTCTTTGTTTAGTTTTTTGAGCATGCTTGGATGGTTCTACTTTAAGCTTTTGTCTAGCAAGCCCACCACCAACCACCCCGTTCTTTCTCGAGCATGCTTTTCGTGGGCTTACCATTTTTTTCTTTGCCATTATTCCCTGTGTCCTTTGTATGCCTCCTTTGGATTTGTTTCTGCTACTGAAACTAGCTCTTTAAGTCTAGTGATGTAGCAGTTCTGTAGATTCTGCAGATTCTCCTCCTCCCCGAGAGCTTGCTGATGTGGGTATAGGCATGCACACTTTGCATGCTCCTCTCTGCCAAGGTTCACCCTGTAATATAAACTTAAATCTTCCTAGGCTCTTCTCAAGCCTGTTGTCTATTTTCTCACCCAAGCCCCTGCCTTTGCCTTCATTTACATTTTCTTTTCCAAAGTGAAGAATCAGATTCTGGGCCTTGTGTATGGCGGTCATGCATTCTAGCCCTGAGTTATACCCCCATTCTGGGGGTTGCTTCTGCAAGTTCTAGCCTTTCATTTTCTCCTCTCAAAAAGGAAGAAGTTCAAGAGCGATGTACAATATAAAAGTTGCCTTTAGCTTTGGGCATCAGTGGAGCTGACCTTGTAGCTACATTTGGAGGAAAGAACTCCAAAGTCACAGGAGAGTTTCCTTCTAACCATCCAGAAAGAGTTGCAGGTGTTTGGACTGATTTCCCCAAGGGCATAACATCTGGTTCTCTTAAATCAGCAGCTAGAATGCCTGTAACCTAACAGAACTCATTTACAGAGCTGACTGACAAGGCTAGGGACTCTTGTCCAGCCCCAGATTTGCAGTGTAAGCTATCGTGCTGGGAGGTAGGGGGTGGCGTGGGGGAAACCCTGTAGTTAAAGTCAAAGGATGACTGCTGATATTGGAAGCACAATATTTATTCTGTTAAGACCTCCAGCTGATCAAGTATGGCCCACCCACATTGTAGAGACATTATATGTTTATAATTCATAAGGGTAAATGCTGATTTACCAAAAACACCTCCACAGAAATATCCACAATAATGTTTGACCAAGTCTCTTTGTATCATAACCCTATTGATTGGACAGATGACATTAACTATCACACTGTCTTAACCTCAATTGCAGGATGATACTATTAGATACTATTAGATGATGGCAAGTATTCTATGGTCTCTTACAGTGAATATATATATATGCATATATGTGTGTGTATCTCTATATATGTAAATATACTTATATATATATATTAATTCAACTCTCATTCATCTGATTTTGTCATTATTGTTGCTTGTTGTTTTTAGAATTTTGCTCTATGTGTCGTAGCAAGCCCTGTTCATTTTTAAATTGTCTTAGAATTAACATATTAGATATTTCTGCCATCTCTCTAAAACCCTGAAGAAATTCCTGAACAGCAGTATAAAGCCTATGTGTGTCTCTTCCTGGACCTGGGACTTGTGCAATAGGGACAGCCAGCAAGGCTTGATTGCTGGGCCCAGAATAGCCTGAAAATTCCTCAGCAAAGCAAAAGGCTGAAGATCATTAGCATAAACCTGTGTCATGTCCCTGTGGCTGTGATTATGAGTGGATTGTTGCCCTGGCTGTTCAGCCCTGATCTCTCTTTGGCCCCTTGTTCCTTTCCATAGTGTCTCACCATCCTAACTTTTCTGCCTGGAATTTTCCACCTTTCAGCATCTTCTCTCTTGAGGCGGTTATATAACCATTCACTTTGGTGACTTATTCCTTTTGTTACTCTCTGGACAAAATGTATTTCCTAATCTTTTTACTTCCTGGGGCTACTGAGCTCATGCTTTGGATCCTTGTAACCTTTTAGAGTAATTTATACCAGTTTTCCATAGTTTTGTGTTTTTTTTAATCGCCTTAGCTGTTTTTCTTAGGGGAATTTATGGTGAGTAAAAATGCAGCTAATCCTCAAAAAATAGATTCCTCTCAGTTTTTTTTCACTCATCTGAAAGTTAGACTTTGTGACAAGCTGTTTGAATCTTAGTGATAGTGAGACTTAATGGGCTTGGCAGAAGCATCTCCAATGTGAGATTCAGCAAATGCCACCTCAGGTCTTGCTGTCTCATAATTAGATCCATGCCTGGTTTTAATGCTATAATCACTTAATGTCCTCAAGAACCCCTTTCTCTACATAGTTGTATTTTTCATTTAATTTGTTTCTTTATGTTTTCTTTGTTTGCCACATTTTGCACCTGAAGGAGTGATGTGTAACTTGTTTTTTTTTTTCCTTGAAAATCTTAGCAGACAACACATGATGCATGAGATGCCAAGGGTGTTGTAGTCTGTTACCTGAGCCCTGCCAGTGGTCTTTGTAGGGGATATCAACACCAGTGTGTGTGTGTGTGTGTGTGTGTGTGTGTGTGTGTGTGTGTGTGTGTGTGTGTGTACTTTGTTGACATTCAGGAATAGTTATACCTCCGTCAAGTTATTACTGTAATGCCATCCCTTAAAATGGCTGTTATTAGAGAGAACCATCTCTATTTCTACAGGCAGTGAGTTGATTTAGAAATGTTTTTATAATATTCAAGCTATTTGATCAAAACTCTTGGAGGCCTAGTATTTACCTCAGAAAATCCTTAGTGCCATGTGAATATAAACTAGAAATGTAATACACTTTCCTATAAACTCGGAGTCTCTCAGCCTTAAAAAGTCAAGATTGCCTTGTGAATTTGCTGTTTAAGGTCTGAACTCACTTTGGATATGGAAAATAAAAACAGGAGGACCTATCTACATTTTGATTAGACAGCGATCCTGATGTAGACAGACTCCTTAAAGGTGAGGTTCAAGTCCAGTGGCAGCTCTGAGGGAACAGACCCCTGGTGTGCATTTGTAAGAAAATGTAGAACAGTTAGAATTGTTTACGTGGGTAGCTAATACAGAAACCATTCCATCTCTCCTCTCTAGGTGTGTCAGCACAGCTTAGCAGTACTCGGCACTACCTGAATACCTCCGTAGGAACACCTTTTTGGATGGCTCCTGAGGTCAGAGAGATTTTTTTCCTTCAACTTTTTTTAATTTAAATTAAAAACAATCTTAGTTTATATACCAATCCCAATTCCCTGTCCCTCCCATCCTCCCATTCCCCCCTCCAACCCTCCCCATCCCACCCCCCATCCACTCCTCAGGGAGGGTGAGACCTCTGTAGGGGGATCATCAAAGTCTGTCACATCAGAGGTCAGAGAGTTTTGGAGGAGACAAGTTTAATGTTATTAGACCCTTTCTGTCTTTCCTTTTCACATATGTTTTTTCTTCCTAAATGTCTTCCATGTTGTTTTAATGAGGGATTTCTATGTAAGCAAGGAGAACACGGGGGATTCTGGGTAAACTGACTATGAAGGAATGCATGAATAAATGAAAGATGAATGAACAAGTCAGATGAGGTAAAGAGACTACTTGAAGGCTTAATTTGTCTTGAAATTTGCTTTTAGTTGTCAAGCATGTATCTGTATTTTTGCTTTTCATTACTATTACTGTATTTCCATGATTATTATTTGGTGTCTTGATACAGGGTCTCTTTGTCCTCTTTCTTCATCCTTCTGGATGTTAGCAGTACAGTTGTCATCATTGTTAGGTCTCACCCCAGCTAGCCCAGAACGGCAGTTTGGGCTCAGCTCAGGAGGACTCTGACCAGTACACTCATCATCTTCAGAAACCTTGTAAAGTGAGTTTCTGTTTGCCAGGAAAAGTCATTACTTTCCTGTTGGATCCTTCAACACCCAGATCTGGAGAGGGCATTTGGTTCTCTTTAACTCAAACAAGCCTCCAACAGATCAAAGCCCTATGCCAGTTCCCAGGTTGTCCCAGCTAACCTGTCCTCCTCCTACAACATAACCCCTTATAACTGGCAAGACCCTCCCTGCAACCATACACACACCATTTTTGCTGTCTTCTCTGCTCTAGAGAGATAGTTCTGGCAATTCCCAGTCTGATGCTCTCTGTCTTTTCTCTCTGTTCTTCTTTCTGTCCCACCCCATCACAAAGCAAAAGACATTGTTGGTGTTTTGGTCCCCAATAAGCCCTTCTTCCCACCCATGGAGCAGTCTAGTTCAGTGGTTTCGCTGTGCCCTCACTTACATCCACTATTTGGCTACATTTTGTTTTTAAAAGATAGTAAACATTTTCGGGGAACTTTAACTTTGTTACGTTAGATTCAGGTCTGTCAACCCATGTGGTAAGTTCTTATGTTCAATCGCCAGCCTGGGAACTGAGGCAACTTCAGTAGATTTTTTTCATTATTACCTTGGGAGACTTGTAGATAAACTGCTAAAATAGCCGAAAGTTCAAGAACCAGACCTTCTCCCAACAGTCCCTATTTAATGCCTTTAATCTTTTTAATTATGTTGATCAATAAAGAGCGCTTAGTTTTGAAAACTCTCTCTACATCCATTGGGAAAGCTCTGCTATTTATATATGATCTTCTAGGGAGCAAAGAGAGAAGTGGTTCAAATGCTACATTAATATTGCAAAATCTTCCAATTAAATTTGTTTGAAAATGAAATCCTGCTATGCTATTTCTGTTTAACTATTAATTCAGTTATTACTTATTTTTGAAAAGTTAAATGTAACATATAAGAAAAGGATACAATTTTACTAAGTGTTTTTGAAGTTCCAATGAGTTAAAAATTTTTTTAACAGGGACAACATATGAGAAGAAACAAAGTTATAGTCATGTAAGCCAGCACAAAATTCAGTGAGAAAATCTGAAAGAAGAACTTTCTCAGAATTTATTCTGTTATATCAGTATTTTTAAACTTTATGTGAGAAGTCAATAAAAATGTAACTCTAGACCCAAAAATGTAACTCTATACCAAATATTGTACTTTATTTGCATATATTCATAATTAGAGAATAAAATGATTTTAGGGTTATATGAGAAATATTTAGACTTTATATTTTATGTTAATTTATAGCAACAAAATCATGATTATATATTTGTTTGCCTGTAGTAGAAGCACTTATTTATATATGACTGCTAATCATTGTTTTCATGTCATTATTTTATGCCTTTTCTCTTGCCTCTGAAATATGTAATCTCTGATCTTGAAGAACATACTCTGATTAACCAGCTTTCTAGCTGCAAGGTATCCCACATGCACTATTTCTGTATTGTTAGTAATAACATTTCTGCTGGTCTGGAGATGCTGTTCTGTGTAGAGGCCTTACCCAGCATGCATGAGACCCTGGGTTCAAGCCCTAGCACCAGAGAGTTCAAAGCATTTAATGACATATTTGTAAAAATTAGAAGGAAACAGGTAAAAACATACAATATGTTCATGACTAAGAAATAATTCAGTGTTTTAAAAATTAATCACTTGGAAAGAGAAATTCTTGGTTAGCATGTTAAATTTTAATTCTACTTTAAAGACAGTGTGCTTTGGTTGCATAAAGCCATCCTTTCCAGTCTTAATTGAAGGGTCAAGTGTCCATAGCAAGTAACCATTCAACTTACTATACTGATCTAGAGAATACACAACCTTGTGTACAGATCCAAGGATACCAGTAATATTCTAAACAAACTGGAATGCAAGTCCACCCAAACCTAAAGGGAAGTGTCCCAAGGTGTGAAGCCAGACAAATGTGTGTTATCCTAAAAGGTGTGCATTACCCTGATGCAACAATGTTACTAGAAAAAAATTAGTAGTATTAAAAGACTATTTTAACCAGGCAGGCTGAGATACCTACAACCCTCATACTAGGGAAGGTTGAGACCTGAGATATACAGCGAGACTCTTAGGAGAAGGGTAGGGGAGACTCCGTGTTGTTCTGCAACCAAATGATTATCAGACAAGAATGACAAGAGGGATACAAGCCCTGACCTCCATTTCTAGCACACACAAGCACAAATTACATCAATGCCAAGATGCATTAGTTAATATGTGTATGGTTTTATGGCTTTGGAGAGACATATGTCACATGTACTAGATTCATTTTTTGATATACACAGTTCTGTGGCTGTCAGTGGATAGATAGAATTGCTCCATCACCTCCACAGTCTAAGATTAATCATTTTTATGTTCCTCAAAGAAATATCTTACCATGTGAGTATTTCTCTTGTTCCTCCCATGCCCTACTCCAGCATTGATCTAGTTTTAGATGTATGGGTTGATCTATTCTGAACAGCTTGTGTCAATGGAATCTGAACATGTGTCCCTTGTGTCTGGATTTTCCCCTGGTTCATTTTCAGGTTCACCTATGCTATAGCACTTATATACTCCTTCTATGGCTAAATGATATTTCACTATTAGTATATACCACTATAAGAGACACTGGGTTTCTACTGCCTTAATATTTACCAAATGGAATTTTAAAGTAAAACCTAGGGCTCTCGTGCTTGCTCCTAGAACTTCCAGAGGAAGCACACAGAATAGCTGAGACAGAAAAGGTCACACAGCTATGGCACAACAAAGAATATGGGGCAGGGGCAAGGTAAACAGATGATGTTCATGGGGCTTTGTTTTTGGCTGTAGGCAAGTTCACAAGAAATAAACAGAAAGGAATAAGCAGACCAATGTTTAAAAGCCAATAATAAATATATGGATACATTATTCAGGTGTGTATAGATTATGGATAGTATATCTATCACTTATCTTTCATCTGTCAATCATCTACCACTCATCTATCATCTTCTATCATCTCTTGTCTATCATGTACCTACAATTTCTATCTTTCTATCATCTATCCATCTTTCTACCACCTGATGCTCACCTATATATCTGTCTATCAATATATTGATCATCTATCTACCTATTATTTTTTAAGCACACTGATATGTTTGATATGTTTATATTTAGGTATTCTCTGTTGTGGCTTTCAGTGTCAGGTCTAAGGGGACTCATTCATCATGAAGAAGTAGCCTTTCATGAGTAGTGTATGTGAAGGGTGCCAGCTCAACTCTTGGAGTCCACACAGGCAGGGGTTTTGATGTTTGTTGGAGTCACCAATGAGAAATGTTCCCCCAGAGGCTACCATACTATAGTTAAATGGTGGGACTTTAAATAGCCATCACCCTGAAAATTAATTTGTGTCTTGTGATATGACATTCAGAACATTCCAAACTTTTTAAATGTAAATGAAGGTTTTCAAAGGCTAGTAAGATGCCTCAGCAGGCACTAAAGCTCATCATCAAGCCTGATGACCTGAGTTCAAACTCTGCAACCCACGTGGAGGAAAGAGAAATCTTTCAAGTTGTCTACTGAACTTCTCTCTCTGTCTCTCTCTCTCTTCCTTTCTATCTCTCCCTCTCCCTCTCTCTCTCTCTCTTCCTTTCCCTCTACACCCCCCCTCTCTCTCTCACACACACACACACACAAATAACGTTTAAAAATAATGGTTATCCCCACTTGGCAAAAACTGCATAATCCATAACTGCATTTTAAATATTTGTTTCTGTCCCATAGATAAATATATCTCTTAGCCCTTATCAAGGAAATTTCTCCTGCAACAGATGGGGAAACCATTACAGGAAACAATAACCAATTAAAATTCATAGTTAAGGTGCCCAGTCCCATTGGATGAATCTACAAACATTCCTGTACCTATGGATCAAAGATCATTGCAGAGGAAGTGGTAGAACGATTTTAAGATCAGGGATTTTGCTGTGAGATTGTCTCTCTAGTAATTGCAGAACCTATACCCCTAGTCTCACCAGCATGACTGACTAAACATGAACTGAACAAGGATAACAACAATAGACGTGCCAAGGTAAACAGCAGGGCTACCACAAGGCCTCAAACCTACACAAAGAATTACAGGCCCGGGCATTGGTGACACACGCCTTTAATCCCAGCACTCGGGAGGCAGAGGCAGGCGGATCTCTGTGAATTCGAGACCAGCCTGGTCTACAAAGCCAGTTGCAGGACAGGCTCCAAAACAATACAGAGAAACCCTGTCTCGAAAAAACAACCAAACAATCAAACAAAAAAGAATTACAAGCAACTAAAGAATGCTGGGAACGGAAGAAATCGTCTTTCCCAAAGAAGAGATAAGTTATTGGTTATCAAATACCAAATGGCCAGCCCTAAAAACACAGATACATGTAACATTTACAGACTCGGAAGGTTGAATTTATGTATTTAGGAATATATATGTATATGTCGATACATATGTGCATGTAACAATAGGTAATGAAAAAGAGGCTATAAATTTAAAGAGAACAAGGAGAGTTATATGGGAGGGTTTGGAGGGAGGAAGAGATGATATTTGATAATCTCAAAAATAATATAAATATTAAGTAATGGGTTTCACAGTATGAAACTGAATTTCCTTTTTGTGATCAATAATGTTAACAATGAGCATTTATAGTAGCAATTCTCAACCTGTGAGTCAAGACTCCTTTGGGATCACACATCAGATATTCTGCGTATCAGATTTTTACATTACAGTTTATAACAGCAGCAAAATCACAGCTATGAAATAGCAATGAAATTTTTTATGGTTGGGGGTCCTCACAACATGAGGAACTGTATTAAAGGACCACAGCATTAGGAAGGTTGAAAATTACTAATTTATAGGCTTCTTACTTACACATTTAGAAATGTTATAAAGAAAATTAATACAATGATTTTTCTATATAATATTGTATTTTCTATACAATATTGCATAACCATTCTCTTCCCCTTATTCTTTTGACTATCTATCACATTTGGTTAGTGACAGTTGATTACAGTTTTAAATCTTAGTGTGGCTCAAATAAACCATTGTACCTTTCCATCAGTGTTTATTTTTATTTAGTTGACTATTTTGTTAATAATGGCTTAAGCCATTTGCATTCTTCCAAATTTTTCTCATTCATGCCAGGGTGCTTTTGTGTTCTATCTGCCAGTAAAGTTAAAGGTCATTATACTAGACTGCCCTCAAGTTTCTTTCCCTTGATTCCTTCCCTTTCAGTTCTCTGAGGTGTGTTCTTTGGTGCTGGGTGATGCCTCCTCCCCTCCTCAGCTGTTTGTTGAGCAAGTACTTCACAGTCATTAGCTGTATGTTTGACCCAATTCCACGTAGGACACCATTCTTTCCTCTTTTTGGTGTGGTTTCTAAACTATTTCTTTTCATAGACCCTTTCCTTGTACATCTGCAAACCTGCTATTGTATTGTCTGTGCTCAGAATAATCATATTGGTATTTATATGATTCCCTTTCCTTCTAAACTACTGCTTTTATCTTTACTCAATTATGAAACTCCACCAGTTTAAACATGTGGACTTTTCTCTGAACACTTTGCTGCTTGCTTGTTGAAACCTTGACACTTTCCCTTTCTGATTTTTTTTGTCTTCTAGGTGATTGCATGTGAGCAGCAATTAGATACCACTTATGATGCTCGGTGTGATACGTGGTCCCTGGGCATCACAGCTATTGAGCTTGGTGATGGAGATCCCCCACTAGCTGAGCTGCATCCCATGAGAGCTCTCTTCAAAATACCAAGGTCAGGTGTCCAGCAGGGCCAAGATCTGCAACCAACTTTTTTCTTTTTCTTTCCACTGACTTGTCATCATGGAAATACTCAGCATTGTTCTAGAAAGTGTAAAGACAAAGTTCCATGTAACCCATGTTGTCCTTGAATTCACTATGTAGCTGAAGTTGACCTTATTTTCAGATTTCCTGCTTCATTTCTGATGGTGGGCTTACAGATGTGCACTACAATGCCCACCTCAAAGGCGTGGCCTTAGCTGCCCTTAAACTTGCCATCTGGTCTTATTACCTTCAATATTTGCCTGTCAGCTTGTTCCTCTACAGTTAGCTGATTTCTCTATTATTTTAACTATGTGTTGATAAGTTCTAGATATCTTAGAAAATAATATGAAAAGAAAACTGTCCATCTTAATCTTAGGTGAGCTGTTTTTAGAGACCTTAAAGATTTTTTTCTGATGCCATAATTCTACAGAAAACACACACACATACACACACACACACGCAGCTTGTGTTGTCAGGGATTCAGAGAGAGAGAGAGAGAGAGAGAGAGAGAGAGAGAGAGAGAGAGAGAGAGAGAGAGAGAGAGACATGATAGTCAGTAACTACACACTCTATTAGTCAAAGGTTGTGATTTCAAAATGTGAAGACATACCTGGATGGGAGGGTGGGGTGCCGGGTGCTGTTTTCTAAAGAAATAATGCCACTGTGTTTTGTTCATTTTCAAGTGGGTCCCTTTGGAATATTTTACATGTAATTTAATGTTTCTAGCAACAAACATTACAAGTTGTTTATTACTTTGGGATTTCCTGTGTATTAGCTCTGAATTATAATATTTACATCATTCTTTGTATTTCAATGTCCAGTGTATCTCATAAGATGTGCTGCTTATTTGGCAGATTATCAGAAAGACAAAATCCTCTATATACCAGCTTAAAAACATTTCATGAAAATTTTGAAAACAAAAGAAATATGTTTTTTCTAACTTGTATTGTCATTCAGTGTACAAAGTGAAACTTTATATGCACAAGTCACCTTAGTTGTGGTCTAAACCACATTTAACCCCATGTTACTGGGCCTGGATAGATAGCTCAGTGGTTAAGAGCACTGACTGCTCTTCCAGAGGTCCTGAGTTCAATTCCCAGCAACCACATGGTGGCTCACAAATATCCTTAATGAGATCTGATGCCCTCTTCTGGCCTGCAGACATACATGCAGGCAGAACCCTATGTATGTAATAAATAAATCTTAAACAAAAAGCAAAACAACAAAAGCATGTTATCATCTTGATGATAGGACACACACGGAAAGGATGATGATCACTGATCTATTGTGCCTGGGTGATACTTAGTCTGCAAAGTGCACCATGTTAATTATTTCCTACTATTTCTGCTGCTAGTGTGTCTTTAAATGGAACTCTGAGAATACTGGCTGTAGAAATATGTTGAAAGGGGGATCTGAAAAGTTGCAGTTCTGGGTATTGTGTAATTGTCAAACCTTGTTATAAGCAAAGCAATCCAATACATCTCATAAAAAAAGCTTTTTCCAGTGGACAAGAAACAAAATAAAATTATAGGCTGAAAAAAAGTACTTTTTTAAATGTGCAAATCAGCAGTCTAAGAATAGTCCTCAGGATTGAAAAGCACTCTGGCATGATCCGGTTAGATGTGTAGCTGCACTTGGTGTTAATGAGCCTATACCAACTGTACATTAATTTCATTATAAGCTGTTTAAGGAGCAATGCAGGACTGAAGACAAAGTATTTCCATCCCCCTAATGAAAACAAAGAGCTGTTAGAATTAACATAAAGCGGCACTTCAGCAAATTTAGCCATCATGGTTGATCAATGTTGCTTGATTACAGAATCCCATCAGCCTCACTGTCAAGTGCTGGTCCTTTGTGTGCACAGATGCACCAAAAAGGAAAAGATTTGTTCAGCTTAAAAAACAAAAAGAATTAATAGCAAAATCTTTTAAGTGGCATTTACAGCCCTATAGCTAACTGTATTTTCCAGTTCTTTGCTTTTGTCACATCCAAACACGTGCTTCCTGCCATGTTTCTGGAAACAAAGGAACAGCTCCAGGAAGCATTCTGCCCTCCCTGCTGCAGTGTGCTACCTGTTCAGGGCACCTCTGTGCACCATGGCTGATCCTCAGAGGCTCCTGTAACTCAGAGATAATACTGGCATTTGATAAATATTAACGTTTCCTCCTAGGGATTTCAGATAAAAGCCAGATGATTCTTTAGAAGATAATAAAATAATGATAATAATAATAAAAGAAAAATTGGGGTATACGTTAAATGCTTCCAGAGTAACTAGGAGACTCTCATTTTATATAAAGAATGATGAATAGCTAATTATCTTTCTTGGAATTGGGAGAGGATGACAGTCTTTGTTGGTACAGGCAGAACCTGGGACTGCAGTATTTCCTTGGTCTTAGACCGCTTCTCGTATTTCATCCTCAGATCAATGCAAAACTTCCAGCCTTGATTCTTATTTTCCAGGAACCCACCCCCTAAACTAAGGCAGCCTGAACTATGGTCAGCAGAGTTCAATGACTTCATTAGCAAGTGAGTAGCAATGGCATCTGGAATAAAATGTAAAAAATGTCAGCCTGATGTAGCTTTGAATGATGTGAAGGGGATTTATGTTGCCACTGGCTTTTGAATCCTCCTCTTCTTTCTTATCTGATAAGCAGCTCCAGGGGTCTCCAGAATTCTCTATCTTTTCCTTAAAAAGACAGGAAGGAAGGAAGAGAGGGAGAGAGGGAGAAAGGGAGGGAGGGAGGGAGAGAGGGAGGGAGAAACAGTGAAAGAAAAGAAAAGAGAACAAGAGAATGAAAGAAGAAAATCTGTATTATCAGCTAAGGGTTCAATGAATTTACTTAAATACTGGCCTCCGAACCAAGTTAATTCACCTCTCTGTAGCTGTGCTTCCAAGGACCCTTTGCATCCAGGAACATGCTTATCTGCTCAACTGCCTTTTATAGCATTGCCCTCTGCATTCCCCACCTGCTCAGCCTATTACCCATGCAGTCAGTTATTTAACCCTTCATCTGTCTGTATTACTGACACTCACTACAACCAGGGGTATTTCATTGTGGTCAGTTCATCCAAAGATCATATCTATCAAAAGCTTATGCATTTGAAATGCAGAAAACAATTTCACTTGACAGCCATTTAACAGAAGTGATTTGCCTCTACACAGTTGGAAGTGGGTCAACCATTTAGAAAAATCAGACCCTCTGAATCTTTTCACAATTTTTACTGGTTTTACCTTAAAGAAGGTAAGGGGTGATGCCTTGGTATAAATGAGAGAGAAGGTGATGATTTGGTGTGCTAATCCACTCTACAAATGCAGTCAGAACATGTTGTTGTCACTGCTATTCTTCTAAAGGTGAAAGACTTAGGTTCCCTATTGCGGGAACTCAATAGGGATTGATACATTTTAAAAGTTTCCACAGCCAAGGTACCATAAGCATTTGCTAGGCATGACATCCTATCATTCCCCAAGTCTCTGAGGAAGATCACTGATACAGCTGAGATGCCCCACAGTGACTGTCTTGTCTAGAAAAGCCTTTGATTCAGTGGTTCTTGGCTTGTCTGACTCATTTCTCAGTCTTCTCCGGAGACTCACTTCCCATCATCCGCAGGCCATCAGTATTCTATCCTGTGTGCTGTTCTTCCACTCCTCTCCCAATGGTGATATTCCCAATTTTATGGGCTTACCTTTTCTGATGTCCTTCTGTCTAGCTGGACAATAAGCAGCTCTAGAACATTGTCGCCTACCTTGTCACTGTCATTCCCATGTCTAGCAGAGCCAGGTAGGCACTGACTATTTGGCAAAGTTGAATTTGAATAAAACAATCTGTCCCTCTTCTTAGTGCAGATGCAAGAATGCTATAGATGTAGAAACTGCTTTGCTCTGTGAAACCAAATGAATCGAAGAGCACCTGTTCCAGTTTCTAGACAGCACCAACCTCATTCCATAGCATATTTTAGCATCCCTAGGGAAGGCTTTTGTTTAGCCCAATGAAATAAATTGTCAAATTATCGTCCCAGGCTAGTTGAATTTAGGACCTCACGTATCTTAAGAAAATGCTCCTCCACTGAACGACAGTCTTCAGCCCCTTTTGTACTAGATTTTTGTTTGTTTGTTTGTTTTAATTTGTGGCAGTGTGGTCTTTAACTCACTCTGTAGCCTGACTGAAGTCCAAAAGTTTTGCTCTGTGCCATCAGACCCAGCTTCTGTTTGTTTGTTTTTCTTACTATTTTGATATCCCCAAATGACAGTCCAATTTTTCACAGTGGAGGCACTACATCTCAGGGTCAAAGGGATTTTGGAGCATGGTCAGCTGTTCATTCAGTGTTTGTAACCCTCATGAGAAGTATGCTTCCTAGGAATGCATTCTTTCTTGAGAAACACACCAATCATTGTTTTTCCCCCTAGTGACCACTAAGAACTGGCCAAATCCTTATTATATTTGAAAACAGCTTCTATAGCCAAATAAACAACCCCCATAATACCACCCCATGAAAGTGAGTTCACTAACCTTATCCTTCCTCACAAATATGCTATGGTTGATCTGTCCACAGGTGTGATAGTCACTAAAATACCTGCCATGTGACTTCATGAAATCCCTGCTGGAGTGGAATCTAAGCCTTCTTAGCAGATTAACTTTCTATTGAGCTACCAGAAATACATTGATTTAAAAGTCTTAAAAGCATGGTGAAATGAAACTACAGAGTTTGTGTTAAATTTATATAATCATTAATGCCTCCACTCTTGAATGACTTGGAAAGTAAACTTTGAAGTGGAGACAGAGTTTGATCATCACTATGCAGCATTGCTTGCTGGGAAATGAATGAGAGTGATATTGGGTGAACGTGCCATAACTACAGTATGATCCCTTACAGATATGGGCGCTGTTGTAAACATATATCACATTGTCATTTCATATTTTTGAGATTTGCTTTGAATTGACATATGTGAAAAGCATCAAGTCTGACTACATTTTTTTAAAAATTTGAATGGTAATTTCAAAAGTCTAACTTATTTAGTAACTACATATTGCTTTTTGCCCATGCAGATGCTTGACCAAAGATTATGAAAAGCGTCCAACAGTGTCGGATCTTTTGAAGCATAAATTCATTACTCAGATCAAGGGCAAAGATGTGATGCTACAAAAACAACTAATGGAATTCATTGATGTCCATCAGTCCTTGGGAAACACAGAGAAGGCAAGGTAACCAAACAGCATCTTGGGTTTCAAAAATGATTCCATAAAGTTTTACTGTGCAATAGTTGCTAAGGTGAAAGGAACTCAAATGTCCTCAGTGTGACTTGAATTTAATGGGATTTTTGCATGGAAAGCAAATGTCACTTGTTGAGTCTATGTCCCCCATAGTGTTGAAAATGCTGGCAACATTTTTAAAAATGACTTTATCAGAAGAAAAATTATAATTTACAACAGATGAATGGCTTTGGTATATATATATTGGTATTTCTTTTCATTTACTTACAGTTTTCTGCAATGTTGGGTGTCTTAGATGGGAAGGGGAATTTTGGGAAATGGGATAGATTTGGAAAGTTTCTGTCATAAACCAACACCTGACCTAACAAAACACCCAGAGCTTGTTCAACTCTTCTGAGGAATGAAGATACGTGTGTGTGTGTGTGTGTGTGTGTGTGTGTGTGTGTGTGTGTGACTACTTCCGAGAGTCCCCAAACATGGGGAACAGTTTTCACAACTGTTAACTTTGACAGCGTTCAAATGCATACTAAATCATGAAAAACCCGAATTATAATGTTTTTAAGTTTTGCTTCTAAATATAATGTTTAAAAATATTCATTCACGTCAGTTAATGGACATAGAAAAAGTCACTTTTGTGTAACATGTGCTCTTGAAAAACAATACAAGTCAACTAATAAAAAGCAACTTAGTGAAATATATGGGCATCTTGTAAGAACTGAGATGAAGTCAAGGGACTCACTTAGACATGTAGTAAAAGGAATAAAGAAACCCATCATCTTCCTCAAGAAATGCCTGCTTACAGAGGCCCCCTCACCTGCCCCCAGCATTGCCTGCAAAGGGGATTCCTGACTGCCTCCAACACTCACAAACTGACTTTGAGCTTGTCATCCTCCTCCAAGATTTGGAGCTTCACATGACCATCTGATTAGTTATGCCTTGGCCTCAGTCCTGTGCTCTAGTTAAAGTGTATGGCAGAAATGACTTGGTACCATCTCACTTGTGTTTAGGAAGAGGCAGAGTCCTACCCCTGAGTCATTTTGGAAATTCTCCTCATCTCAGAAAGATATGATTATGAGCAGTGTAAACAATGGACACCCACCATATATAATATTATGCACATAATATATATTATATAATATTCTATAGAATGTTTAATTAGGTTTCTAAAATATTTTATAAAACTTGAACTTTCTACATAGAAATATTATTTAAGGTATAATTTAGATTCCTTAGGAGATATATCTCAGCATCCAGTTAAATTGTAACAGTTTTGAAATTAAAATGTCATTTTTGGCATTAACAATTAACATAATATTTTTATTTTTTTCATATTTATATGATAATCAAAATTACTTCAGTATTTTATTTGATGCTCTCCCTATACTCATGTTGATTAACACTGATGTGTATAAGTCACTAGTCTGCATACAATTGCATAGAAACAAACAGGACTGTGTACAAGTTTTTATTTATTCAAACATAGCTGTTGCTTAGCCCCCAAATACTACCTGTCTTTGTAGCACTATGTTAACTGCCCATTTAGACCCATAGATGCAGTTGAAGACAAAGAATAAGAAATATTGAGACAAATGTCAAAGGATTAACAAATGAAAGATAAACTAAAAACTGGTTCAACCGTTTAGTGCTACGGTGCCTGGTCCAAGATTTCAGCTATTTATTAGGTGTGAGGCTTTATGTAGTGTAAAGGGACACAGATAGGATTTTAATTTTACAAACCAGAACACTGAGCTAAGAAAGCAGGAAAATCAATAGGAAGTAATAAAAGGCCCTTTTCAATGAGACATAACTGATGACTCCATTTTACTTCCCATTTCTTAGACAAGCTAATTCTTCTCTAGAGGCTTTGACAATCATGGTGGACAAGTCACCTTTTGGAACATTTACTGTCTTCCTTAGTAGACAGGACTTTACAATGCCATTCTAGTAGCTCTTACAAGAGCGTTCTGTTCAGTTCCCTTCTCCAAGTAAATGTTCCAAGGAAACTTCAAACTCAACTTGAACCTTTGCTACCCCATCCCAGATTACTTCCTTGTCCCTTTTCTTCATATTGGCACCCCCGCCAGTCTATTGTGATAACCAAAATCCCAGAGATTATCTCAGTAGATTCCTGTTGTCTTCTACTCTCCATTTTCAGTCAAAAGCAAGACTCAGTTCTGGCAAAAGATTTTAACAGGAAGATCTGATGGGCAGTACCTTTTAGAATCTGCTTGGGGGCTTGTTCTCGAGTAGCTAGATAGGACATGCATATAAATAACCATTATGCAAAGTAGCAAGCTTCAGCTCTATAAAAGAGATCCAAATTATGTCTTATGGCAGTCCAAAAGATGCAGGTTTTTTTTCCCTTAGGTACTGCAAGGGATAAACTGGCTTGGTCTTGTGAAAATAGAGTTGCCACAAAATAAGCATTAAATGACTTTAGCAAATTATAAACATAGGACGTGCTCACAGGAAGTCATACACTTATGTTCTTAAACTCTTAAATAGGATTTGAGAGCTGCAGAGGCACTGAAATTCAGAGAGGTTGGGCCTGCATCCTTTGCAGCAGAAGGCAGTGACCTATCCCAGCTTGCAAACCTTAGACAACAGTCTTTCTATGGTTCCAAAAGTGAATATTGCCTATCCCAAGACAGACATTGCTACAATTTCATGGTCATCTATCCTATTAACTGTAATGAATTTTTCTTCTTGCGTTTCTTCCTGACCTTAAATTATTGCAATTTTTGGATTCAGGGGAACTTAGTCCCTACTTTGTGCATCTACTTAAGTGTCTTTGGCTAGGACTTGATCTCCTACCATCCCTGTAAACCATGGTAGGTGCAATCCTTGCAGATGTACAATTCTCATTAAAGACTCTTGAGTCATGCCCTGACTTCCGCCACTATGGTGGCATCTCCATCCTCTAGTAAGATTCACAACAGTTAAGATAGGGACGCAGATAGAAATATTCTTCTTAACACAGCTAGGTGAATTTCTATGGCTTTGAAAATGAGGTAAGATTTATGGATATTTTGAATTATAAAGGATTTAAGGGAACACAAGTTTGAGAAAAGATAGCTCAGAGTTGGCTTTTATTCAGATAGGACTCTGTCAACTCAGTTGCTATTACTAGATCTAATAGCTAGCCCAGAACAATAACAGAATAGGAAAAACACTTCACAGGAAGGCAATTACAGTATTAACAAAGGCTGTTAGTGAATAGTAAGTGTTGAAAGAATGATAAATTACCATTGGGCCTGGTAGTTAGAAAGCTGTAATGAACAGTTAGCAACTAGTGTTTGCATATTTGGGGATTGGAAATCTTTCAATTTATATGTAAATATATTGGAGGGATGTGGGTTCCTTAAATTGTTTGGAGTTAAGCAGCTGGACAAGTAGTCTCTTGGAGAGATCCTATGAGTATCTCTACTTCTAAACAACACCAGATAAAAGAATTGGAGTAGGCAGGGAAAGGAAACATCCAATATGAACCAAAAAGCTGTGAACACTGTAATTCCAAGAGTAAGTTATGATGGTTCCTCAAAACCGACTGAAGAACAGTCACACCATCTGTCTTCTATGTTGGATCACTGCTGGAGGAAACTGAGAAAGGGGGACATAAATTCAAGCAACAGATGCCACAGTGCAGAGGCGCTGAATCCAGATGATGCTTGACCTTAAGATCTCTGAATCCATAACACCTTTTAAATTTCCATAGAATCATCATATAAGCCTAGGTTGTTATTTCTGGAAAGGAGCTTTTCATGTGGTTCCTTCTTTTGAAATCTAGAGAAATTAAATCCTGCTCGAGGCATCAAATTAAGCATGACTTCTCAGACTGATGTTTTTTATGAGTTTCTGTGTTCTTTACCATTAACAAAGCTTGCCTGTCCTATAACATGATGTATAGTATTTTTTGTTTGGTGTTTATCTAACTTCTTTGACATACTTGGTCTGCTTTATTCAGTATCAGCGTTTAGTATTAAGTTTAGCCTGTCTTTGATAAACTATAATTAGGGTTTATGTTGCTTAGCAGGGTAGTCACTGGTCAAATAATCTTTGTTCATGTGTTCCCTATGACTTTTGAAAGAATTTTATTGAGGGCAAAGACTATGCTGACAAAGAAGACTAAAATGAGCATCATATTTGCCCTGGCCAGCAGGTCACAATGAAGGTTGAACCCACAGGAACCTGGAATGAAAGGGACAAGAGACGCAAGGACAGACAGCAAAACAGGCTTTCTGATCAAGTTGCAACTTTTTATTTTCTCACAAGGATTCTTATAGTGGTTGAAGCAGGAAGCTTGGCAGAGCAGGAGGGTTAGGTGGGAGAGGCTATTGCTTAGAAGCAGGGAGCTTGGTCTTGGCAGGGTATGTTCCAAGGACACAGTCTGTGGCAGGGGGAGTCTGGACTGCAGGCCAGGTGGCAGAAGGGTGGAAGAGCCTGGACTGTAGGCCTTGAAAGTATGCTGTGCAGGAAGATAAGCAGACCAGAGGAATAGAAACTTAACTGTGTTAGTATCTAAGAATATAGAAGGAATATAAATATGGCTCTTATTATGCTATCCTTATTTAGGACCTTCCACAGCTGACAATATTTACAAGAGGTCCTATAGACCACTGATCGCTCCCAGCATCTCCTCCCTATTCATATCAATTAAAAAAGATGAGTATACTAACAGTCATTGATTGAAGGGGAGGGCAGAGGCCTAACCCCCTGAAATGATGAGGTATTTTTATTGGGCACCATTATTCACTTGACTTGGTAAGTTGGTGGCCCCAATCGCCCTCGATGTCTTTTTGTGGAGGAGAGGATTTTGTTGACATCAACCTCTATGCACTTAGGCATGCTCTCAAGAGACCCAGACTGTATATAGTTTCTCTTTGCAGTGCTTTGCCATGCACCCTTCTCAACAAGGATCAGGCCTGAGCAGTCCAGCCTATGGCTCTCTGGGTGTGCCGTGGCTTATTTTTGTCGCTCATCATGAGGCTCTT